GCTGAGGCTGATGCAGGCTGAGGCTGAGGCAGGCTGAGGCTGAGGCCGAGGCTGAGGCAGACTGAGGCTGAGGCTGAAGCAGGCTGAGGCTGAGGCAGAGGCAGGCTGAGGCTGAGGCTGAGGCAGGCTGATGCTGAGGCAGGCTGAGGCTGAGGCTGAGGTGATGCAGGCTGAGGCTGAGGCAGGCTGAGGCTGAGGCCGAGGCTGAAGGCAGACTGAGGCTGAGGCTGAAGCAGGCTGAGGCTGAGGCAGGCTGAGGCTGAGGCTGGCTGAGGCTGAGGCTGAGGCTGAGGCTGGCTGAGGCTGAGGCTGGGACTGCGACTGCCGTTGCCGCTGCGACTGTCATCGCGAATGCGACTACGACTGCGACTACGAATGCGACTACAACTGGATTCTCATCTGAATCTTAAGGGGAATGCTTCCATATCTGCTCCTACACATCGCTGTTAGGTTGCTTTGCCGGGATGATTTTTTCCGACCTTGGAGGATGGGGCGAGGCAGGCCAGACGACGAGCAGATGCCGCTGTTGCCAGGGCACAGTCTACGCAACTTTGGAGAAGTACATGCGTTCCATCAGGCCACGAATATGGGCTTCTTGAAAGGCATTCCGAACTGGTGCACCCATCTTGTAGATTATGCAAGAATCGTGAGGGAGAAGCTTTCCCATGTCAGGTGCATGCCAGAGAAGCGAACCCCGTGGGTTCTCCAAAAAGACAGGGCAACCAATCTGAATGCATAGCCGGATGAGCCATCAAGAAGAGTGGAACGCGCGGTTGCGTGAGCGGAGGCGCTGCAAGCGGGCTCCCGACAGGCCTGGCTTGCACATCGGAAAAAAGGCTTGTAGCGCAAGGGATCTCTCGGCGCCTGCGACCAGGGCGCGCGCGGGGCGCCGAGCCACGAGCCGACCGCGGCTTTGCCCAGCAACCAGCCTCGGACCACAGACTTCAAGGTGGAATCGAAGTGATCCTCGGCCGCCCCGCGCGCGATGTCCAGATCCAGGCAATCGTGGCCCAAGTCGCGGATGCGCTGCGAGATGCGGCCACGTCCGGCAAACAGCTCAAGGGCCATACGGCCCCTCCTCTTGTCGGCGCCCGCGCGACAACGGCGATGTCGCCGCCGCGGGTGCAGCCTCGCGCCTGCTGGCGGCGCGGTCAGCGCCGGCGGGCTCGCCTGGCCGCGGGGGCAGCGGGCCCTCCCTGCAGGCGGGGCAGGATGGCTGCTGGCGGCGGGGCGGCGACCGGCGGCAGCCCCTGGCCGCCCCGCAAGACGTCGAGGAAGTCGTGCTCCGCGACCTCCCCGAACAGCAGGACGTCGGGCTCCACCTTGGCCGCCTCCCGCAGGGGGCGCGTCCCCTTGCCGCGCTGGCGCGGGGGGGCCTGCGTAGCCCATCGGCCCAGCCGCGTCACCTGCTCTGGGGTCCCGACGCCCGACGGCAGGTCCTCGCTGGCCCCCCCGCGGCGCAGGGGGTTGAAGTGCGGCTGCAGATGCATCGGGCCCAGGGCGCGACGGGCGTCCACGGAGAGCCGAGGAATCGACGTTGGCTGGAAGTCCCAGAGCGAGCCATCCCCTGCCGCATCCTCGGCGCCTCCAGGAACACACTCTCGTCCCAGAGTTTGGTCTTCCCGGGGAGCTGGGGGTCGGAGTCGGGCAGCGGCAGCCCCCCGGGGGTCGGCGCCTGGCCGAGGTGAACCACCGGCGGCGCCAGGTGGCGGCCCGCGAGCTGGAAAGCCTCCTGCGGTCGGAGGTCTGCCGCGTGCGTGCGACATCATCGCGAACGGGCCCATGCGCGGCTGCAACCAGGCCGCCAGTGCCCCCGCGATGGCGAAGGCGGCGCGGCGCGGAAGCGGTAGCCGCATCTGCGTAGGCACCCGCCGGCGCCAGCCCGCCGCGCGCCGCGTGGCCCGCGGCCGCGCCTGAGCCGCCCTCTTGCGCAGGGCCAGCGCGCAATGCGCCGGCGCCGCCAGCGGCGCCGAGCCCTCGTTGAAAGCCCGGTGCGCCGCCTGGCCCGCCGCAGCGGCCCTCCTTTGGCGGTCAGCCTCGCGACGAGGCTGAGGCCCCTGGCCCCCGCTCCAGCGACCGAGGGCGAGGCTGGCGGACGCCGATAGGGCCCAGTGAACCAGCCAAGACGGCCGCGAGACAAGAGGGTCGGCGGGGTTGTCGCTGCGCGCCCAGCGGATGTGAATAGGACAGTTAGAGCAAAGTGCCATGCAACGGAGCTTCCGAAGAGGACGACGTAAGTGAATGGATGCAGCTCTACCCTTGCAACATCCCAGGGCCAAAGGCATGTTGTCTACGAATGACAGGATATGCTTCCCCAAAGCGGCTCTGAACCTCAGAATGTGCTCGATCCCCAAGATGCATGCGCCCCCCTCCAAGGCCAACGCGCCGTCGGGCACGACGGCCCGCGGCGCGATGACTGGTGCACAGCGGGGCCCCTCGAAGAACTCTTGGGGGGCCTCCATGAACTCCCTCGGGTGCACCCTGATGAATGACTTGAGCCCCTCGACGCCCAGGCCGCGTAGTCCCGCGGGCAGCGAAGCTGCGCTGGATGTGGGGGATGGCAGAGGCGGGGGCAGGAGGGCTCTTTGCTTTTTCCGCGCCCGCCGCGCGATGCCGCCGCCTCTCGCGCTGGCGGCCGCGCGCCGCCGCGACGCCTGGCTGCGCGGCCCGCGCGGCGACGCCGGCTCCGAACTCGGAGGCGCGCCCGCCCCGACGACGTCGCACTGGGGGCTGCTCGGGTCCTTCCGGAGGAGGGGCAGCAGCGAACGCGCCAACCGCAGCTCCTGGCGTTCAGCACGCGCGGCAGCTCGCGCCGAATCGGGCAGGCCTATGCCACGCGGCCTACCAGGATACCTCCAGGATCTTACTCGAGCGGCGGCTGCGGCGCAGCACCGTGTCCAGCGCCGCCCTGGGCCGCCGCTGGTTGCGTCGCTTGATCGACAGCCGGCGGCCCTGCCTAAGCTCGAGCCCCACCAAGACGGCATCGGTGGAGGCCTCCACCTCCTCGAAGACAGTGGGCCCCCAACCCCGCGGCGCGGCAGACGCGTCGTCGAGGCGTCGCGTGGCCGGCGCCGGGCCGTGGCCGAAGACGTGGAAGTTGTCGACGTAGCCCGCGGCGGCAGTGGCAGAGGCGGCCAGCAGGGCCACGCTCGCGCGGCCGTCCTCGATGATCTGGGAGTCTGAAAACCCCGCCACCGCTATCGCCCGCGCGGTGACCGCCTGGCAGAAGTGCATCGCCCGCGACCACCATGGGCAGGATCGTGAGGCGCGGGGCCTGCCGCCCAGCGCGGCGATGCCGGCGAGGGTGGGCGACGGCGTCGGCAGGGTGAAATAGTCCTTCAGGCCTGACATGGGCCGCAGACGGTAACAGGCATTATCCAGGTCCCCGCTCGCCGCGCACAGCGGCGCGTCGCCCGACTCCGCGGCCGCCGTCGGCAAGCGAGCGGGAGGCGCTGGGTGAAATGAAGCGTTCGCGTAGCACGTGTCGAAAATGACGCGCTGCTTCCCCGACTTCTTCCGCGCGGAAAAGACGCCGAACATGTGCGTGGAAGTGGGGGCCACCTCGGTGCGCAGCGCCCCGCGCTGACGAAGCCGCCGAACAAACTTGCCCCGCGAAACTGAATCCCGAGCCAGACGAGGGTCGACGAAGGGCCCGCGAGGGCATGAACGTCGGGCTCCGAGCAGCGCCTCGTCGGGCGTCTGGAGCAAGTCACGTCGCCAGCCCAGTGCCCAATCAACGTCATCCTGGGCGAGGCAGCCCAGCAGGTCCGCCGGGCCAGGCCCCGCCTCAGGCCGGGGGGCCAGCTCCTTGGAGTACGGGGCCCGGGCGCCGCCGTCGTCGGAGTAGGCGATGGGGCCGCTGAGAAGCTCGCGAAGGGCTTCTTCGCAGAAGCCTGGGTCGCTCGGCATCGCGCCCGCGCCAAGGTGGGGGCCCTCTGACAACTCGATGCCGTTCTGCTGCCCCAGGTTGTCAAGCGCCGAAAGAGGTTCACCAGAGTGGTCGCGCAGGCTGCTGAGCGCGTCTCTCCCGTCGTCGGCCCCAGTCCACGAGCGCATCGGCGCGGCGCGCGGCAATGCTGCTGGCGCACTGCTCGGCGGGGGCGGCGGTCGACCGCGCGCGCGGCGCGTCGAGCCACTCGAGGTCATGGGGAAGATCCCGGCAACGATGGTCGCCAGCGGCGGCAGGATCGCCCGGGAAAAGTGCCCAGTGCTGGAGCTGCGCCGCAGCGGGTGGCCCCGCGCCCCGCTGCGCGCTCCCATTCCCCCCTTTGTCTCGTCCTTGTCCATGTCCTTGCCGCCCTTCTTGTCCTTGTCGTTGGTGGCCCTGGCGTTCCGGCTCTCTTCGCGCGCCTTGCGCCTCCTTTGCCGCCGCGTGCACTTTGGGCAGCTCGCCGCTGACGTGGGACAGGAGCTGGGGATGCACGCGCGCGTTGCCTCGGTTGACCGAGGTGCCGTAGAATTGGTGGGAGTCCAGCGACTCGTCGGCGTTCGTGATGAACCTCTCCCGCCACCTCTCCTCCTGAACTTGCATGCTGCGGCAGATCATCTCCGCCGCCGCGACGTCCGGGGCATTGAGCTGGTCGAAGCAGACCGCCTGCTCCAGGTGGAAGCAGCAGCGCTCGCACCCTGCGACGCCCGCGTCGATCTGAGCGAGGCGGCCCTCCGAACGCCACTTGCTGTGGCGTCCGACGGGGGGCAGGCCGTCGTCCGCGATGACTTGGCGGGCCCGCGACGTGGCGCGGGGGCCCGCTATGGGCCAGTCAGGCCACTGGTGCTCCCCGTCTCCCCGCGGCCGACCTTCCTGGAATCCAGCAGGTTGCGCGGCGCTGGCTGCGCGAGCGAGTCCGCCGCGGGGCCCGCCGGGGCAGTGGCCGCGGGCGCCGCAAACAGCGGTGCGGCGGGGGCGGGCGCGGGCGCTAGGACCGCAGCCGGCGCGCTGCCAGGCGGGGCCGGCGCGGCAGGCGGCGGGGGCGCGGGGGCTCTGGGCGCCAGCGCAGGACCGCCGAGGGCCGCCACCAGCCCAGCCACGCCCGCCGCCGGCGCAGCAGCAACACCCACCGCGGGAAGCGCAAGCCCGCCAGGAGCTGCCGCAAGAGCAGCCGCCAGCGCCCTGCCAGCCGCGTTCGGCGCGATGGGACCAGGGGGGGCAGGGGGGCCGAGTCGGCCAGCCGCAGCCGCAACAGCCGCCATCAACGTGTCTGGCTTCGGCAGGCTGCGGAACCTGTAGTGCCGCGCTCCAGGCGCCCGCGGCATGGTGCCACCCGCCGCGCCGCCTGGGAAGATGTCCCACCTCGCGACGTCGGGCGACCCCACTTGCGCCTCCTCGTGCTCGTCGCCGTCGGGAAAGACGATGCTAGCGGCGCCTGGCTGACTTGGCGGCGCCAGCACGACTGGCCTCTCGTGGATCAGCACCGCCCCCCTGACGTGGTACTGCGCCCCGAGGAAATCATCGGGAGCCACGCTGGCCGCGGCCGCGGAGGGGTAGGTTGGCGGCCCAGCGGCCGCCATCACTGCTGCAAGGCCTTCGTGCGGGCCTCCCGCGCCTGAGCCCGAACCTCCTCCTCGAAGTCCGGAGCAGCCGCAGGCCGCGGCGCCGCGCCGCGCGCGAGCGCGATCCGCCGCCCGCCAAGCGCCAGCAAGCCACCGCGGCGGCGCCAGCTCAGGCGAGACCGCTGGCGGCGCAGGCCAGCGCTACCGACCGGAGGCGCGGCCCCTGGCTGCTCGTGCCCTGGAGGTCGCACCGCAGCTCCTGGCAGTGGAGCTGTGGGGAGCAGGAGCCCCCGGCAGCCCTCGAACGTGGCGACCGTTTCGCAGATCGCAACCCCAGGGGGATGGCGAGGTCTAATCTGAACCTGCGTAGCACGTCACTCCGTTGGACCCCCAGCAACCCTCGAAAGTGGCAACCCTTTCGCGGATCGCAGCCCCACAGGAATGACGGGTTTCAACCTGAGTCTGCGTAGCACGTCGCTCTGCTGGGCCCCCGAAGCTGCCCTCGAAAGTGGCGACAGTTTCGCAGATCGCAACCCCAAAGGGATGGCGAGGTCTAGCCTGAGTCTGCGTAGCACGTCAATCCGCTGGACCCCCCAGCAGCCCGCGAAAAAGGCAACCGTTTCGCAGATCGCAGCCCCACCGGAACGGCGAGGCCCAATCTGAATCCGCGTAGCGCGTCGCTCCGCTTGACCCCCCCGGCAGAAATTGGCATCATTTTCGCAGATCGCAGCCCCACAGGGATGGCGAGGTCTAATCTGAGTCTGCGTAGCACGTCACTCCGCTGGAACCCCCAGCGGCCCTCCAAAGTGGCGACAGTTTTGCAGATCAGGGCCCCGCAGGGACGGCGAGGAGTAATCTGAGTCTGCGTAGCACGTCGCTCCACTGGATTCCCCAGCAGCCCTCAAAAGCGGCGATAGTTTCGCAGATCGCACCCCCACAGGGATGGCGAGGTCTTCTATGAATCTGGGTGAAACGTCACTCCGCTGGACCTTCCGGCTGACCTCGAAATTGGCGTCATTTTCGCAGATCGCAGCCCCGCAGGGATGGCGAGGTCTAATCTGAACCTGCGTAGTGCGTCGGACCCCCCGGCAGCCCTCGAAAGTGGCAACCGTTTCGCAGATCGCAGCCCCACCAGAACGGCGAGGAGTAATCCGAGGCTGCGTAGCACGTCGCTCCGCTGGACCCTCCAGCAGCCGTCGAAAGTGGCGACAGCTTCGCAGATCGCAGCCCCACAGGGATGGCGAGGTCTCCTTGTGATCCGCTCAGGGCGTCACTCCGCTGAGGGTGCCAGGGATCACCAGGTAGGCCGCAAGCTGGCACGCAGGAAGGAGCGAGGTAAGAAGCAGGCAGGAAAGATGAGAGGAGGAGAGAGGCGGGAAGGGGGAGGCGGGAAAGAAGGAAGGAAGAAGGACGGAAGGAAGGAAGGAAGGTGTGCGACCGCAGTGCTCTATCCAAAAAGAGAACCCAACGCAGGAGGGTTGGGAATTATGGTTGGTCCTCCCTTGCCGGTGCACATCGTGTTTGAATTAATTGAAGTGCCCCCCCTCGGGGCTCGCACCTAATTTCTTATCCAAGACATTCTTCCTGCTTGCACTTGGTTGTTGGGTCCCGGACTACAGCGACAACGGCTCCCGCCTGATACTTCCTCACAATTCATTCCAACATCGAACTCTCGCGCAGGACTTCGTCAAAATTTACGCAGGAACTGCGCTCTCGAGTTGGTCTGTCTCACAATTTGTTCAAACGCCGCGCCCTCGACACTCAGGAGTCACGCTCTCGCATTGGTCTTTTTCACGGTCTACTCGGACATCGCGCTATCGCTCGAGACGTCCTCACGATTCATGGAGGACTCACGCTTCAGCAACCCAACCTCTCGACCTGGCCGCCTGGGCCCGCCTTCTCGGCCCGCCCGCTAGGGTCTGCCCGCCCGATCTGCCCGTTTGGTTCTGCCACGTGTTTTCTGCTCCTAGCCTCCCTCCTATCAATTTCTCTCGTGCTCCATCCTTCTCCCTTCACCTTCCATCCGTCAGGGGCTGCGCTACATGCGCGTGGCAGGTAAGGAAGATGCATCCCCCAGGGGGAACGATAAAAGACGAAGAGGGCGGATACCGAGGGTTTGGGGTACACGTGTGGGTGACAGGAGAGCAGAACAGACCGAACGGTCTTCAATGAGTGTTGTTGCTGTTTTTGTTGGAGCTGTTGTTGTTGATGATACTGATGCTGATGCTGCTGCGGCTCTTGACTGTGACAACTATGATATGATATGATATGCTGTGATGTGATATACTAGAATATGGCATGAACTTGTATATACCATACTATGTCATGAATATGGTACGGTTATGGCGATGGCGATGATGATGGTACTGATGGTGTTGATGATGATGATGCTGACGGTGGCGATGATGCTGACGAGGATGACGATGATGCAGCTGATTATTAGGATGATGATGGTGGTGCTGTTGATGATGATGATGCAGCTGATAATGATGCGGATGATGCAGTGATAGTTTGTGGTATGATATGCTGCGATATACTAGGTCATGACATGAAATGGTATACATTTTTGGTATGCTCTGATATGATACGATAGGATGATGGCGATGGCGATGGCGATGGCGATGATGATGATGATGATGATGATGATGATGATGATGATGATAATGATGATAATGATGATGACGATGCTGATGATGATGGCAATGATGATGATGATGACGATGATGACGATGACGATGATGATGCTGCTGCTGATGATGATGATGATGTTGCTGCTGATGATGATGTTAACGACGGTGACGATGACGATGCTGATGATGATGCTGATGATGCTGATGATGGTGATTGTGATGATGCTGATGATGATGAGGATGCTGATGATGATGCTGCTGATGGTGATGATAGTGACGGTGATGATGATGACGACGGCGACGACGATGATGATGGTGGTGATGATGGTTGTAATGATGATGATGATGATGACGATGATGATGATGATGATATTGCTGGCAACGATGATGGTGATGATGCTGATGCTGATGCTAATGCTGATGCTTCTGCTGCTGCTGCTGCTGCTGCTGATGCTGATGATGATGATGATGATGATGATGATGCTGACGCGCCCTTGCGGGTGGCCTCCCAGAGGTGCCACGCCGAGAAGAGAGGGTGCCACACGCCTGTGAGGAGCTCGAGGCCCAGCCGGCGGCGCCCGAGCCCAACGCCGACGACGACGACTCGACGGCGACGGCGTCGACCCACGACGACTCGACGGCGACGGCGACTACGGTGACGGCGACTTCGACGACGACGACGCACGACGCCGACGACGGCGACGACGACGACGCCGACGACGACGCCACCGACGACGACGACGCCGACGACGACGCCACCGACGACGACGACGACGCCGACCCTGAAATCTGGGCGCTGCAATCTTTTTACACCGGGCGTTTTCGTTTGGCTTCGGACCACAGGGCCATCACAGATCGATCCGGCTAGACTGTGCTTTGAGAAAGGAAGAGGAGATGCGACATCCCAGTAGCACAATGAGGCCAGTACGATGTGCTAAAGTTGCCTCCGATTTGATCTGGCTCGAAAATTGCTGCAGAAAGATGGGGCTACGCCGTAGCTCAGGGGTGGCCGCCCTTCAAAACTGAATGCATGCGTCCGAGATCATGACGAGGTGTGGATGTTTCCCCATCCAAAGCTCCATCGAAGACTAAATCAACATCGTCCGGAAGTAAAGCATTTGAGGAACACTCTTAATGTGTACCCCAAAACAGAGCTTCAACAAGCAGGTGCCTGAGACGGATGATGATGCTGATGATGAGGATGCAGGTGAGGATGATGCTGCTGCTGCTGATGATGAGGATGTTGCGGATTATGAGGATGTTGATGGTGATGCCGATGACGATACCGATGATGCTGATGATGGTAGTCATGATGACGGTGCTGACGATGATGAGGATGATGAGGATGATGATGATGCTGATGATGATGATGATGATTATCATGATCATGATGATGATGATGATGATGATGATGATGATGATGATTATGATGATGATGCTGCTGGTGATGACGATGACAATGACGATGACGACGATGACACTGATGATGGTGATGATGATGCTGATGCTGCTGCTGCTGGTGATGATGATGAGTCCTGGAGCTGCTGCTGTTGTTGACGACGACGACGACGGTGACGGCAACGACGACGCTGACGACCACGACGGTGCCCATATCCTCGCCGACCTGGCTGGCCTCGCCCCGGCCCCTGTGCTCGGCCGCCATCTCCTCGGGGGTGGGGCCGCTAGCGGGCCCCGCCCGGCAAGAAGATAACCACGAGGCGAACCTCTAATCGAGGCTCGAGGTGCGAGGGTCGTGCTTGGAAGCCAGACATGCTCGCCTCGTGAATAAACGTCGGGTGCGAATTAAAGGCGGGGCGATAAATGGGAGGGGAGGAAGAAAGGTGCACTTTTCGGGCCCAAAGGCCCTCTCTGGGACCCTACAGGGCTCGTCTAGGGGCCCTATAGGGCCCCCTTCTGCAGCCCTCGCTGCCCCTCCAAATTGTCGCCCCCACCATTGCGCGTCCTCCGATCTCGGCCTCCGAGGGCCGTCGCCGGGCCCGGGGACCGTTCAAGAACGACCCCAGGACGAGAAGCTGGCCTTGGGGAAGGTGTCGGGACTTCCGAGGAGCCCGTTTTACAAACGCCAAGGAATCTCATGTCTGGCAAGGTCGAGGCCTTCGGGCGTTCTAGGGCCTCCTCTGGGGCGTCCTCGTGGCCACGGGTGGGTTCCCCTCGACGTGCTAGCCAGAGCGCGCCCCCCCCCGGACGGGCCCGGGGGTCGATTGTTGGCTCCCGAGGCCAGACCTCCGACGTATGGAACAAACCAGTGCCACTCTGCTTTCGCGCGTTTCGGCCCCGTTGGGCCCCTCACCGGGCCCTGGGGCCGTGAGAACGAGACGCGAGGCGAAACGCCAGCCCTGGGAAGAGGATCTAGACTTCTGGGGGACC